TCATCAGCTATGACAATGGAGCATCATAGAACAAGTCAATGTCTTTCCTTTGCTACTACACAGCCTTACTGACAAGTAACCCAGAACAACACGTGGTGCTTGCGGGACTTAAAAGTGGAAAACATTCCTCTGATTGCTCATCTGCACTTAAGTTCATTTTGCTTCAAAGGCTCAGGACTCTTGTAAAGCATTTCCAATATATGAAAATGTGGGATATTTTGACTGTTATTCTCTAACACACATTTCTTCTATCTGAGGGAATTAGGGATGGCAGGGTGGCACAAGATTATGAAAGAGTAATCACATTTTTTCCAGATATATTTAAGAATAGTCAGAATAAAGTAATATTCTTATATACTAATCACACATTTGCAATGTATTCCTATACATACACATATACATACATATACATATATACATACATACACACACACACACACACAAAGTAGTTCCCATGAATTGACTGCATAAAAACAACTGACATAATATAGAATCAATGTACACAGTAGCATCTAAAGAAACATAATTTAAGGGAATATGTAGGAGTGAAATTATAGATGTAATATGTCTTTTGCTTAAACAGTTGTCTAATCTTGAAATACTGTCATGTAGCAATTTGTGGCATATCTGGCATTTGCTGCATAAGATTTGGGGGCAGTCTTGGCAGCAGGCAGCTAATACTGGGACAGAGTAGAGCTGGGGAGGAAGAGAACTCTTGTTTTCTTTTTCCAGTTCTCATTTCCAGTAATTGCATCTAATTTATGTACACTGGAATATTTCAGCACATCAGAATAGAATTTAGAAAAAGGCACTAAAATTAGTTTAAGACTTTTTTTCTTTACTTAGTTCTAACTTTCCGCTGAATATTAAATTTCTCAATATAAAGTAGAGTTTCTTTTTAGACTCTTTAATGGTAGTACTGTTTTATTTGTATAGATATGTCCAAATAATGGAGCTTGGACTCATTTTGTGGCATAATAATTCATAACATCATCAGCAAGAATCCCAGGATTTTATGCTAATCTTGCTACTAGTTCATATTGCTTTTATGGGCAAGAGCCTTCAAAGACAAATGGGAGTTCACCCTGCTTTCAAACATATTTTGTTGATGTTAAAAAATGGACTGTTAACACAAGAGCATTTGGATATTCAGTTCTCCCAGACACCCTACTGCCACCTTCTGCTCTTCAGTGGGAGGAGATGGTAAGGCTTGCCTTGGAAATTATCAGATTGTTCAGCTTGGCCAATTTACTGTATTGCCTACTCCTTGGTGCAAGTCCAAGAAGATTCCCTAGAAGGAACCCCATTTTTAATGCAGAAACAAAGGAGAGGGGGGTTGATGAATAGATGGAGGAAGACCCCCCCCTTTCCTGCTTTATACTGTACATTTTTTTCTCTTCTGTAGACATAAGAACTCTGTTATATGGGTTTGCACATAATATTTAATTATGCCTTGAGACAGAATTCTGTATGCTCTTAAGAGAGAGTGAGAAAGGTAAATGTAGTGATAATCTATAGATACATTTACAGAATTATGTTTAATTCAGGTACCCTTTCTATTCTGGCTCTGGGGGTGGGGGTGGGGTGGGGTGGGGTGGAGAGAATGAGAAAGAAGGGGGATACCAAGGGGGATACAAAGATACATTCTAAATGAAATATATTTAATTTAATTCCACTTATTTACAGTAAAAAAATACATGTATACAAAAGAATTTGACAATTACACACAAGCAACTGCAAGATATAACAAGCTTTAAAATGATAGTGCCTTCTCTTTTAAGAATTATGTTTGATGCATAGTACAGAGAGCCTCTCATTCATAGAACATAGCCAAAATCTGAAATATGTACTGTACTGTCCATATAGCTGACATTGTCAGATCACTTGTAGACCACTCCTACAGCTTAGCAAATGATAACAGTTCATGTTTTTGCTGCCTCCTAAAATATATCTAAGAGAACCCTCAAACTCTGCTGCTGTTTCAGGTGGAGATAAACTGTATATGGAATATCAGCTACTTGGGCTTCTCAATTTCTTGGCCTCATCCAACCAGTTATTGTATGCAGGCAGCAATTCAGTGTAATTTGAATTTAATGCCGAAGAAACATATTGCTAGCTGTCATCAACGTATCAGTTAATTAGTCAAAGATCTTCAATAAAGAACATGTGGAGTACAGTAAACATTTGCAAGTCACTACAGTTTAAATGCTGGGAAGTTAAGCATAAATTTCAAAATGTAGTTCTTGGAATTACCATATTATTGTAGGTTCCATCCTTAGCCCACCAAATCATTTTAATAAGATGATACTGATGGTAATCAGAATGTTGTTACTAAAAGATACCAATATGTATTCATCAGGGAGAGACTCTCTGTTTTCCAACAAAGACCATTCATCCAAACCAAAGCTACCTCTTTGTCAGATTTTAGATTTTCAAGTGCATCTTGTCCGAGAGATTATATATTGTGTCATAATATATATTTATGCAAACACATCTTTAATAGCACCATCCAAACATTATAGAGGTCCAAAGGTCAGCAAGTTTAAAGTGACATCAAAATTTGAAGAATTACAACAAAATATATATATAGGAAAGCAAAAATCCTTTCTAAATGGATAAGTGCTGAGGAGCACTTCACACTGTACGTTTTAAATCAGGTCCCACTTGTTTATGTTGAATTGTGGAACTGTACTGTTTAAAACAGGTAAACAAATAAAAGCTGTAGGAGAATAAAAGCATATTTCCTTAGCACCAAGCAAGCCTATGAAATCACAAATCTGTATCCAGGAAACTAGCATAACAGTTCTTTCTGTTTATATCTGTAGTGATGGGGACATCAGGGGCTATCCAGTGGGAACATTATTGCACAAATCTGGTTCACATCGTCACAGGTAACCTGGTCCCATAGTCTCAGAGCAGGAATAAGGTAGATGTTTCAACACAAGCTAAATATATTTCAATGGTCGCTCTCATTTAGAAGGTTGATTTTATTTATTTGCTTCTTTATTTACTTTTAAAACTAATTTTTCTTTCTGGCCTTGTAGAGCAGTTAGATATAAAGAGGGGTTGCTTTAATGAATCACAAAGAATTGCTAATTCTTGCAGTTGTATATTATCTGAAATACTTCTTCCAAATCATTTTCAAAACATACATAGTCTGAATAGCCAGTGCTACCCATTACCTAGGAACAGTAAAGGAATTAATTGTCACTGAGTGTCAAGCCCTTTGAGGCTGGCAAACTCAGGAAACAAGAACCATTTGGACTCTGAAATGAACTTTATTGTTAATAGACTAATGTAACAGAATCTTGAAAGCCTGCCAAAGCTATTAACCAGAACTTATACCTAACATAACTAAGGTGGTATTACTTTTATGCTCTTTCTTATGCTTCTCCCCTTTCCTGGACTAAGGAACTTTTTTTCTACCCATGTCCCCCCCCCCAAAAGACCCAGTCTTATAAAAAAAATGTGCCTCCGAAAGAGGCAGTAGGTCTTATTTTGGGGGTATGTCTTTATTTTTTCCCCGACGCCTGCCTCGCCTCGCAGCAGTGGCACCAACAGCCCCATCCAGCAGGAGGCCATATGGTCTGCTGCGCTGTGGTGCTGACACGAGGCGAGCAGGTGGGGGAGGGGGTGGAGCTACCCCAAGCGCCCCATAGACATCCAAACACTTTTCGCCCAGAGGGAGACTGGAAGCTTCGTCTGCTTGCAAATGGGGTGCTTGGAAATAGTGATTCGCTCTTTCTCCAAGCATCCCACTTGCAAGCAGACAAAGCTTCCAGTATCTGTCATTTCTCCATCTGGGTAAAAAGTGTTTGGGTGCCTATGGGGCACTTGGAAATTTACCTGCACCAAGGGGCCAGCGGGCTGCGGCTGCTGCCAGCCACTGTCAGCCACCACATGCTCACCACCACTTGTGCTGGCCACACCCACCCTCGGGCCTATTTTTGGGGGTAGGGCTTATATTAGGCCCACCCCAAAAAATCAGGCTAGGGCTTATTTTCGGGGTAGGTCTTATTTTCAGGGAAACACGGTAACAGTTCTCCCTCTATATTCCTAGGGTTTGCTAGACATTCCAACACAATGAGTTTGGTATTCTAGAAAATTGACAGGAACTTTATAAACAACCAGAAAATATAAAGAATTCTTTCTCACTAATGTCTTTAATTAGCTTAACTTGTTTCCTTCCTCACCTCAACCACTAGGAGAGTCGCTAATATATTTTTCTCCCTTGTCTTCAGGGCAACAATAGAGATGCATGTTTTAATAGCCTATATTCTGCATGCCCTTCTACTATGTTGGGATTACATTGGCCGCCACATGAATTGTCATGTGTTCATTGGCTGCCACATGAATTCTCATATCTCTCCTTTGATTAGAATAGCAAAGAAAGATATTAAAATAGGCAGTGATGTACAGTCTTTTCCCTTGTAATCTGAGCATGCATTCTGTACTTCTGCTTCTGAAACTTCTCAGCATTGCCAGAAAGTGGCATTAAAAGTAGGGGACATTAAATTGGGCTCAAAGAGGGCAGAAAAAAGGAAAACCATCTTGGTTGTTCTATCAACCAAAGTTGGAGCACAACAAATATATTCATTGTGGCTCAATATACAGTATTTTTTTCTATAATATCTCAGCCAAATACATAGGAAACAGCAATTGAATACTTCAAAGAAGTTCTAGAAAATATTCCCAATATAGTATGAGGTTAAAACACACACACACACACACATACACACACAGGAGGGGGCTCAGAAAAAAAGAAGGCACAGCAGAGTCTTCTTGTTTTGATTTTACAGGGACTAGAAGGGAAAGGAAAGATCTGGATAGAAGTCAAGAAGAGCATCAATATTAAAACAGATAAAAATCTCTAAATTCTATCTCAGGAAAATAAGTAGATAGTTTCCAATTTCCACTGTGGAAAGTTGTAGTTGTATCTTCAGAATGCAATTATAATTTGAGAAAAATGTTAATTATCAATTACTTTTATGTCCTTGCAGAAGCTGAGGAACTGTATCAGAAGAGAGTTTTAACCATTACTGGGATTTGTGTTGCGTTGCTTGTTGTGGGAATAGTATGTGTAGTAGCTTACTGTAAAACCAAGTGAGTGATTTTACTTATTAATATTAAAATCAATTTTAATGCAATGAATACAATAAAAGAAAAGAAAAAGAAGGGAAAGAACTAAAAATGAAAAAGAAAGGAGTTTAAACATTTTAGAAATACATAGGCATGGTTTATAAACAATCGTAAAAACATGCAGTTTATGATTAAAGTATTAAAATGAATTAAAAGTTACTTTAATTGCTAAGTGCTTTAAGAATTAAAGAAAATTAAAATCTTGCAACAGAAAATTTGTCAGCTAACAAAAATAAATTCATATTTCATATTCATATTTCATGTGGAACTGATGTATATATTTTGGAAATACAGACAACAAATAAGTGGAAAAAGTATTTGGTAAATATAGTTAGATTATTAAGTAAAACCACAAGAAATGTAACAATTGGTTAATAGTCATTCTAATGCAATTTATAAAAGTTTCAATAAAATAATACAAATACAAAAAATACAAATAAGAGAAGTATAATATTATGTATAGATTGTCTTTATTATCATTTCTTCATGACTTGCCAAACAGTGTTTGAAACAAATGTTATTCTGGTGAGAATTCTAAGTTCATAGCCTACATTTTTTAGGCTTTCAGAAGGAACAGTTTATTTATTTTATTAAACAAACTTATGCAGCTACCCATCTACATGAAGGGACTCTGGGAGGTAAACAGAATAAAAAGATATAGCAATAAACACAATGATAACCCTAATAAAACTCATATCCATCCATCAACCACTCCATCAATCTCCTGGTCCCTATGCCTGGAGAAGAAACCAGCTCTTCATCCCCTGTCCTGAGGCCAACAGGGCCAGGTTGGGACCATCCATATATCGTGGCAAAGGCTGTTCCATAAAGCAGGCACATGACAAAGAAAGCAGTTGTATCTGAATTGAATGTTACAAAATGTTGAAATTATGTCTACAACGTAAGATTCTTTTTTTGAAAGTTATTAAAGGCTGTAGTTTATGAGATTTGGTGAGCTTTAAAAATATGCCTTTTCTTTATACTATTGATTGAAAATTTGTATCATTTTTATAGTTGTAGTATTGATTATCCTAAAAATACCAAGATCTGAGAAAGATATAGTTCACATTTTAAATCAACTGTATGTGCTTTGAACCTCTGAAGAACAGTTATATATACTTCTTCAAAATGTGCACAGCTGGTCACAAATCAAAATGTGTACAAAACTTTATGTTAAGGAAACACACATCAAAATGTGTATATAAATATCAGGTAAACAAAGAATCAGGATTATTTGTAAAGTTGCAGCATAGAAGATTTATTCAAACTTATACCCAAGAATCTAGTCAACTAGTGGTCAGCACTAAATTGGTGCTAGATAAGGGTCAGTGGAATTCAAGAGGGGCTGGACTTGGATCTCTAGTGGCAACACAAGGACTCTGATGGTTTCTTTTTCACCTCGGAAGTAGTGATATGACTGTCACGGAGCCTATATCAGAAAGAGGAGCTTTGTATTCTTACATAATCCTCTATCAAATATGTGATCAGTTTGACTCTTGGAAGTTAACAATTGCAAAATACAGTGCATCCATCATAATAATCTAAATTAAAACCTACAATACATGAAAATTAGGCTAAAACAAATTAAGGGGGCAATTTGAATATTAATCCCATACTCACTGTTTTATGCAGTTAAGATCATCACCCTCCAAAAGTCATCTAGAAGAGCTCCATTTTTAACAACTTCCAAAAGGATAAGAATAAAGGAGCAAATCCAGTCTCTGAAGAGAGACTGCCCCACAAAGCAAATATTCCCACTGAGAAACAGCCTTTAGAGGGTCAAACAATCTTGGGAAAAAATACACTCTGCTGATATTCCAGATTTCACAAATATGTAAGAAAGACAGGCAGAGAGGATGAGAAAGATAGTTTAGGACACATTTTAAATGATCAGAAGTACTGGCTATTAATATTCCCTTCTAAGGAAATTAAAGAATAGTTTCTACCCATAAGGTATTAATATTCAATGGAAGTATAGGAGAATTAAGTACTTATTATCCAGTTTTAATGTTTCTGTGGAAGTTAAGAAATGAATTAATCAGTCTTACAGAAAAGGATATTATATTTTGTCATTGAATCAATGATCTTAGGAATGGTTGCAATGATAACAATTTGCTTCCAAATTATTTTAACTTTTTAACAATGAGTTCCTCTGTTATCAATAAAGGGTAACAGGCAATTGCAAGATTTATTTGACAAAATAACCCAAGTTATAAATTCATTCACATTTGTAAAACTAATTACAGTTCAATGTTATGCCCTTAATATAAAAATGTTAAATGTAGCAAAATAATCTTATTTTCAGGACTGAAAAAAAATCTAAATTTACTTTGCTCCATCCATTAATTTATGTACTTAAAGAAATTCTGTTGTTTCACAAAGGTTTTTTAAAAATATTCTATACAATTCAAAAGGTTTTAAGTGCCGGTTATTTCCTAATGACTTAATTTAATACATGAAATGTGCAATTTAATCCTATGTAACCTGACTGATCATCATTCCTGTACTAAATATGATTTCATATAGAGAACTAACCATACACATGGATAGGAAATATCTTTTGTTTCAGTATTTTCATAACTATAACATAATTGTGATATAACTTTTAGCTAAATAGAAACAGTTGTGAAACATGACTAAATTTGAAATGCAAATTTCAGCTCCTCTAACTAGATATATCAGTAAACTATGGTTATAAAATGACTCCAATAGAAAACAAATGAAAACATGGTGTTCATAAAGAAAAACAGAGACAAGATTTGAATATTCTTATAAACAAACAAAATAGCATTTCAGTGTACCAGCTAATAAATTAAAAGCAAGCTAAAATACAGTTTCAAAAGTATATTTGATGCAATGTTAGCTAATATATAAATATTATAATAAAATATAAATTTAATACTGGAAATGTTAAGAATCTAAACAGATTTTTTTGTAATTTTAATCATGTGTACATACAAAATTATTTTGGAATTTTGTATTATGTAATATTTTTAAAAATCAGGCTATGAACTACTAGAAGATTACTGTGCCTCTTTGTGAAAATTGTAAATTGTAATTTTAAGTTTTTTCTAACAACTGCTAAAATAATATTGAACAATATTGCAAAAATATAGAGGCACTAAGTTTATGGACTATTAACAATAAAAAAGTATTGTACTGTAAATTAATTTCTTTAGAGATTAGTGGAATTCTGATACAACTAAATTTATCAATATGGCTAGAAAATAATTATATATTTCAGAATAAGATCCAACCTTATATATTTTTATATATTTTATTTATTATTGTTATGTTGTTTTTCTTTATACTTTCTGTATCTTTTTTCTTCATATAGTTACTGCTTAAACATATTAAAGTTAGCATTAAACAGAAAACTAGGAATGATATATGAATTGCAAAATGAAGTCCTTCTCTATATGAAAACTAAAACTCCAAATTTAGGAAATCAAGACTAAAAGCAGAAAAGCATCAAAACTAGGCAATTTTCCAGCCAAACCATTCAGTCTAGGGCCCCCAACTTAACAGGATTATATAGTCCATCAGAGTAAAACTGGCCCACTGTTCCAATATGAATTAATACCTTTCAATGTACTTATTCTTCAGAAAACAGAGAAATCAGATGCACAATCATTTGCGGCAAAACATGTGTCCAGCCCATCAGAACAGGAATCTAGCGAATGGCCCTAGCCATCCTCGGCTGGACCCTGAGGAAATTCAGATGGCTGATGTGAGTAACATTTCTTAATTCACTGTGTAAAGCCTCCTGAGAAAGCATAGTAGGCAGAACTAGGAATGGTCTTTTAGATCTATCCTTCCATCCTCTGTTTACAACTCTCCCCTTCCCTTCCCCTTCCCCTTCCCCTTCTTCATTCCCCCAACCTCTCTTTCCTTCCTTACCTTTACCAAAGACAACTCAAGCTAGCTTCTACTACTCAGTACCATTATGATCAGAAGTGTGTGTGTGTGGGGGGGCAAATACATTTGCAGGAGGATTTTTTTTAACATTACTGCAGAGGCATCACAACATACCACATAGAGACCTGTAAAATCATTTCTTTAAGTGCTGCTTTATTTCTCAAAGCTGTGAAGCAATCTCACAATGTGAAGGCTTTGGGTGGCTGCTTTAATGCCTTCCTTAGCTCTTCTAAGACAGTGGTTCTCAACCTTCCTAATGCCGCGACCCTTTAATACAGTTCCTCATGTTGTGGTGACCCCCAACCCTAAGGGCTCTCCAAGTGCGCACCGACGACGCCCACTCACTCGCTGCACCCGGGGCTCAGCGCGCCTCACTGGTCCTCACCTCACTTCCGAAGGTCGCTGGCCTGCCCGGCTCCAGCTGGCCAGGGAGGGGGGGCAGGAAGGCTGGTCTGCCGGCTACGCCCAGCCTGGTTGGAGAAGCGCCCAGGCGGTGAGAGGGGGAGGGAGAGAGAGAGAGAGAGAGAGAGCCAAGAGGGCGACAGCGCCGGCAGAGCTTAGTTCAGCCTCCTCCGCGGAAAGGGCCGCGAAGCAGCGCGGCCTCCCTTAGGAGATGCTCGACGGAAACGAATCCAGCGCTGCAACGGTCCCCAGCTCGAAGCCGTGCGGAGACGGATAGAGGAGCGGTGTTTTGGTTCCTAAGACCACCGGAAATATGTGTTTTCCGATGGTCTTAGGTGACCCCTGTGAAAGGGTCGTTCGACCCCCAAAGGGGTCGTGACCCACAGGTTGAGAACCACTGTTCTAAGAACAGTCTGCAAATATCCTGGTAGGACATGCCCCCAAAATGTAAGGTTGACAACTGAGATTTTAAGTAGCTACCATTTGGAAGGGGGGGACTTTGAAGATACAACTGATTCTTCTCTTATAAGGAAAGCATCTCATCATATGATTTATACAAGCTACTACATAGCTGTATCTCTTCAAAGTGTCAGAATAGCAGGCCTCTCTGGAATTACCAGTATTCTGTGATGCCTTTCTCTCTTTCACAAACCTCCATGAAAATGGCTTCCTACTTGACCTTTTACCACATTTGTTTTTGTATGATCTTCTGTTTCTTGCATACTTCTTTGGAAGGAATGGAACTGAATTTTGCCTGAACTAGAATATAGGATAAACCCCCTGGTTATAAGAATTGTTCCAGAATTGGCTTTTGATGGATTCATTTAGCATATTAACATTTCCTCGGTGTATAGTAATTATATATAGTATAATTGGCTCAGCAATGAAGCAAAATTAGAGGTTCTAGGACACACAAGACAAGGCATAGGACTTTCAGGAAAGTCAGACCATCTGGCCTGAGATTTACTCCATGGAAGACATTGAAGCATAATCTTAAAAGCTCAGCCACATTTTGATTTCTGTTGAATATTGGTATTTCTCATTTAACAATAGTAATTGGGACTGCAATTTCTGTCGCTCAGCCAATGCTGATCACACGATCACACTACTTATCAACAGAAATTCCAGCACCCCTGGAATTTAAGTGAATCTCAAGATGTTAAGTGTGACATCAGTCTCCTGTTCTCATTTCCCATTGACGTTGCTTGTAGGAAATGGGCAAAGAAGGTTGTAAATGGGACTGAGGGATGCTGCAACATCGTAATTGCAATGACCATCCAGCCTTTTTCAAGACTTCCAACAAAGAAATTAGCATTTTGTGTGACAACCAGTTCAACTGACTGACAGCTGATACACTCAGGCAGTTTTACCTGGTGTCTGGTCTGAATCTATTTTCTTGTAGTTTTATCCCATGATTATTTCTAACATATCCAAAGAACTGTCTTCTCTTGTTTTTGGCATATCTTGCAAGCCTCAGGCTACTGTGATTTTTAGTGTTTCTGACAAAATACCTACACTTTCTAGAAGCCACAATATTCCTTACTCTTGTATACCTCCTTTAATTTCCCATGCATGCCCCACTTGTTTTTTCAGCATTTGAAGAGCTCTGTGTTTATCCATAGTAGCCTGTTTAGATTTTTCCTGCTTCTGAGAATGATTTGCCATTGTGTTTTCAGTATTTTATAATGTAGGATTTCCCATCTTTCCTAGAGTCAGGACTTTAAGCTATTGGATCCAATCTATTTTTTCCTTGTGTGACACTCTGCTAGAAAAAAGTTCCCTGAAGATGGGCTCCAGCATGGGTTCCAAAGCTCAGAAGATTAGACCTCTGGTCCCGGTGACCAGCCCAGATTGGATCCTGCAAGAGGACATTTAGAAGCCCTGCCAAATATACTTTTCTGTTTTAAATTGAACATGTCTTTACAAATCTTTGGATAAATAGAATCATAGAATTGTAATGCTGGAAGGGAGGAAGGGACCTTGGAGGTCTTTTAGTCCAACCTCTTGCTCAGCATAGGATACCATCCCAGACAAATGGTTGTCCAATCTTTTCTTGAAAACCTCTAGCAATGGAGAACCCACAACTCTGGGAGGTAAGCTGTTCCTTTGGTTAATTGATCTCATTGTCAGGAAGTTTTTCCTTAGTTCTAGATTGGATCTCTCTTTAACAAGCTTTCACCCATTGCTTCTTGTCCTGCCCTCAGGGGCTTTGGAGAATAAGTCAACCCTCTCTTCTCTGGGGCAGCACTTCAAGTACTGGAAGACATCCATCATGTCATCCCAAATCCTTCTCTTCGATAGATTAGACATACCTAGATCTCTTAACCATTCATCATACAGTTTAGACTATTTTCTAAAGTGTTAGCTATCCCCCCCCCATTAGTGTCTTTTGCAAATTTGATGAATTCCCCTTCTAGCCCTCTCATCTAGATCTTTTAGGAAGAAATTGAAGCACACTGGGCCCAAGACAGAATCTTGAGACACCCTACTGCATGATTCCTTCCATGTAGATGTTCTGTAGTTCCACATACCGGGTGCGGCTGGTCAGCCACAAAGAATAAATTATATCAGTGGTAGCAGATTTCAATTTTATTCCATACGTTTTGAATTTCAATTTTGGTAGAGGAATTTAACTGTCTTGTTTTAAATTATAAGCTGTTTAAGATCTTTACTTTTCTTGAAAAGTCCGAATAGAAATTAGTCAAGAAATTAAATACATTTATCAATATTACCTTCAAATGCCACATCTGCATTGGAATGCACTTTCTGGTGCTGTTTAGTTGGTCAAATTGCTTCCTAAGATCTTGGCAGGCTTTACCGAGTTTTTGGGATGGCTTTACCCTAACTGCACATACACAGAATTATCTGCAAGTTGCCTATATTGGTCACAAATGTTTAAGTGCTTATTTGAATTTTTGAGCTTTCTTATTATTTTATCCTACTGCAATTCAAATGAAGTGTCCATTGTTATAAGGCCATTAGGAAAAAACATTGAAATACCCTTAGCGATGAAGCCCCAAAAGTGAAAAAAGGAATCTTAGATATATATAAAGTTAACCTTATTCTTATTCTCCAAAAATTGAAATATAAGCTAATACAATTTATAAAAATCCTACAAATACAGTAATGTTGTCACTCCCAAATTAATATCTATGAACTTGTGTCTTTTTCCCAGTATATATCTAAAAATGTTCCTGCTACTGAGCATGTCATAAGAAGAGAAATAGAGACCACCTTTTCAGGGAGCCGTTCCTGTTCACCATCACATCCCTCTTCCACAGGAACCCCAACTTCAAGCCAAAGGTATGGGCAGAAAATTTCACGGCTCAGATTTCTTCTTAACCACTTTGGGATATACAATGGTCGGAGAATCATTTAAATAGCGATGCACATTAAGTCATTGTTTTTAACTTATTTTAATTTTATATACATCCAGCCTTTCCATTTGCAGAATATACGAGGTAGAACTAAAAGTAAACATAAAAATAAGACAAGACTAAAAGATACAAGCATCAAGGCACTGCAGTGGTTTAACTTTAGCAGTAAAGAGATCTGGGGAACTTTTGATAGAAGGAAAAGCAGAAAAGTATAACTCTTTGCTACCATCTAGTATTTGTCCAGTATTTTGCAGCCCAATTATGATAAGCTTAAGAAATCAGGCCTTCTTTTTCTTTTCCACTACTCAACCTCAATTGCATCAGCTTCAGCTGGTATTGGTACTGGTGAGCTCCATTCATTCCTATGTCCATGAAATCATTAAGTCTACAGTAAGGTCTTAATAAAAAAAATTAGGAAGCTCTAAAATGAGCTGGCTGTACCACTGGCCTTCATTATATGAATCTTTATGTATTGCTGTTTGATGTCCTACACAATGTTTGTGAAAAAAGTGGAAAATTCATTAGGTACTGATTTAAATAAAGCCTTTACATAAAAGCTTCCAAACAGATGAACCTAAGTGATACTTATAAACAGTGGAATACTGACAAAAAAGAACAAACAAACAAACCATAATTTTATCATAATTATGATAAAAATGCATAAATTGTCAAAGGAAAAAAGACATAGAAAGTGCTTTTTAGAAAAGTGAAAAAATACAACAAAGGGAAAAAGTAAAATATATCATTTTAACGGTAAAATAGTTACAATTCTACAATACTTATTTAGTACAATTACCATTCAGGTATGCATATATTTCTAGTACATGTATATAACTATCATGTTTCTAATATATTGTATTTTTATAAACGAGTTCCATATTTCATTATAGTTCATTATAGCTACAAATAAAGTAATAAAGGTGGGTTAACAATGTAATCAATAATTATATTTGTCCATACAGAGTCTACATCTACAGGCAGTTTGCTAATAGGTGGCAAGTGCTATCAGGTCTTCAATCCATTGAATGAAAGGGGCTCTAGATTTAGCTTTCCAATGCTACAGTATCAGTCTTTTAGCCATAGTAAGGGCACGGAGAATCCATTTTTATCTTGTCCAGTTGTCAGATTCCAAGTACTAGGTATGTAGTTCAAGAGAAGAATATCTGAAACTTTTAGCTTATCTTTGATTGTCATATAATGTGCACTTTCATCTTATTTTAGACATTTGTTATAACATAAGACTAAAAATATTATACAAATCGATATAGTACTAAAACTCTCATGCCTGTAATCTTTAACTGGGTGAAACAGTGCATCATTGAGCAAGAATTTTTGAACCAAGGTATCTCAAAAGGAGCAAAAGGCTCCCAGGGAATTAAAATTTGGCAAATTTTATAAAATATTTTATGATATAATAATTATCATAAAGCATTTTATGACCTACTGACACAAAACATTTCCTGTGGTCAATACCTGATGTTTGGTTGTGCTATACAGTTCAACATGTGCTATTTTAAAAGAAGATACCTCTTTGAATATCTCCCTGAATTTTTAAGAACTTTTCCCAGTGAAGGCAGGACATTAAAAGCTCTGTCATTGTTGAAGGCATTGAAAAAGCTGTTCAGGAAATATCTCTGAAACAATGACACAACAGGACACAGATTGCCCTGTTCCTTTATAATTTTATGCATTCATATTTCATAAGCCTTACAAATATGGCTTAGGACAGTGATGGCGAACCTTTTAGAGACCGAGTGCCCAAACTTCAACCCAAAACCTTATGTATCGCTGGGTGCCGGGTGGGCGTGGCCACAGTGGTCATGGCAGATGGGTGGGCATGGCCAACTCGATGTTGCTCCTGGGGAGGGACACTTGTGGAGGCCGGGCAGGGTTGGGGGAGATCCAGGGGGTGGGGCAGTGGGCAGGAGACTGGTCCTGCGGGGTGAGGCGAGGCAGGGTGGGGGTGCCATTGTCACAGGGCGAGGCAGGGGCCTGGCACCATCGGCCCCCGCACACAGAGGTCAGCAAGCGCATGGGTGCTAGGATGCATCCAGCCACATGGGACCTCAGCAAATTAGTGGACGGCTGGTTGAAGAGGACAGTTGCCATCTCTGGGGCCTGGTGTGGGTGCCCACAGAGAGGGCTCTGAGTGCCGCCTCTGGCACGCGTGCCATAGGTTCGCCACCACTGGCTTAGGAACTTTGCTGGGAAAGACAAGTCCATTTTAGCAAGTAGTTAGGTTTAGGAAAGATCTATTTCTACCCTTCTTTATCATTTGGCTTAACTTACAGACATGAAAGCCACACCTGGAGCTTGGACCGCACAGAAAGCATCACTTCTGATTGTCAGTCTGGGATGATGTTGTCTTCTGTGGGAACCAGCAAGTGCAACAGTCCTGCCTGTATGGAAGCTCATGCTCGGCGGGAAGCATCCTATTCCATTGAGGAACAGAGGAGGCCAATGATGCAATACAGAGATTCTGTGGATTCCCTTCGAGACTCACCACATAGTGAGAGGTCTCATTTTCTGTTGCTGTTATTATCATTTATACAAGGAAAGCTCAACTTAACAGTCCCCCATTTAGCAGAATTTGAGCGCAATAAGTTCAGATTTTCATCTCGATATCTCCCTCTGTATCCAAAGTAGTTTGAATGAGGCAGTGACATTTATGTGATTTTTACCTTGCTTTCAGAATACCTGCAATGGTTTCTGCCAATTGCATCAGTTTACATCATTTATGCACTTGCTTAATCCTATAAATGACATAAATTGATGTAAATGGTATAGTCTCATATTTAATGGGTTTACGAGAATAACAATATCTCCTCCCCCTAAAATGGCCTGTCAAAACACCGTTTCACTGCTTTTATACTGAAGTCACAAGTAATGGCCAGTTTCTAATACAGCATAACACAAAAAGGGGAGAGAAGGAAAAAAAGTTAGTTGAGAAGATGGATAAGCACAGGTTGTAAGTTTATATAATATAAGCAATAAATCAAACTATGATCCTCAGCTTTTTGAGGATCTGTTTCCAAATGATTATTAGAATTGCTCTGATTAAATTGCTTGGTTTTTGTTAACAGTTGTGGTTTTAATCTTCATGTGCCACATGAAGTCACTTTTGAGAGATGTGTGGCTTAATACATAAATAAAAATGCTAAATTATTATTTTCTGAAGGAAGACTTTATCTCAAAGGCTGTGTATAGCAGAATTCTAATAGCCTCATCCAGATTCTGGAAATTCTTGAGAACTACTTTTTAAAATAACTTTTAGGGTAGAAGAAATATAAAACCTATCCCCAGTGCCTTTGCTGCAACCACTTAATATGATCTATATTGATGTGCCTCAATATTAAATGGTTTGTACTGCTCTGAACCAAACCTGAGTCAGATCACTTGGGCCACTTTCCAAAAAGTATCGTTTCATTGGGTAACATAATTGAGAATAATGTTTTTCTTCATGGGGTTGGACTAGAAGACCTTCAAATGTATTATTCTGTTATTCCTTGCAGTACATACTTAAGCTTTTCTTTAAGTAAAATCCTAAACTTTTTTTTTTTTCAATACAACTTTTATCGGCAACAAGTGACTTAAGTTACAAGCCCATAACAAAAAAAATGCAAATGAAAAATGCAATGGAAGAAAGAAGTATCCTGTAGCAAACAACCAAGAAAATATAATTAATATACATTTTTAAAAGTAAGGGAACTAGAAGACATTCCTGCTTCTCTCAATGACAGATTGACATATAATCACTACTGTAAAAGTTCAGATAAATTAGCATTTTGGGAATCCTTAAAAACTTGGGTGTTCCCTCAGGCGCATGTTTTGCCAGTCACTGTAAGTTTGTCCTTTTAATGATTGGACTTGGGTTTGTTTTTGGCCATTTTATGTATTTATGTAAGTTTGTCTGGTTTTAACTCTGCATGCACTACCCAAAGTTACAGTTGTGAGATGGGAGGCTACATAAACTGATATCTTAAAGAATAAAAAATAATAAACTGATCTTTACCTTTGCAGAACTACTTAAATAGATGCTAAATCTTCCTGAAATATATAATCCAGTCATTATTTTCCTTTATTATAACCAAGTCCAGTCCTTTTTATTTTAGCTTAGCAAATTCTCTTTTCATTCACCTTAAAATATATTTATATGCAGTTTGTCTCAAAATTAAGTCTGATTATCAGATTTTCTTTACTGCAGATTAATTTTATTGGCCAATTCTTTTCTTGTACAGCTGCATTTCTAGTAAAACACATATTCTTGCAAAAATAGTCCAATATAGTGGGGCTCTAATGAGCATAGAGTTTGTTTTAGATATAATCAAACCCAAGGGTCTAGCAAGAAAAGAATTGGCCAACAAAATATTCTTCCTGCTGCCAGACACAGAACACCACTGAAATAGTTTCTGTCATGTTCTTTGTATTGGCGTTCCTGAAATGATTAGAAGTGAAAAGGAAAAAGAGATTATCTAATTAGAATCTCAATCTCCCCTTCCATCTCTCTTTCTTACCCCTTCCCTACCTGCCAGCAAGGTATAAGAGCATGGTAATACTTGTGGAAAAAAAATGATCAGGAAAAAACAACAACCCTGAAACTGTGTATCTGGTTTCTTTATCTTGAATTCAAATCACTTTGGGTTCTTTTTGTCATTGTTAAGTTTTATTAAAAAAACATGCAGTAATAATGTTAAAGACATTAGCAACAACAAAAATGTAAATTTCAAATTATTATTTTTAATATTAATAATAATAATAATAAAGTTGGAAGGGACCTTGGAGGTCATCGAGTCCAACCCCCTGCCCAGGCAGGAACCCTACACCATTTCAGACAAACGTCTGTCCAGTCTCTTCTTAAAAACTTCCAGTGTTGGAGCATTCACCACTTCTGGAGGCAGGTTGTTCCACTGGTTAATTGTTCTAACTGTCAGGAAGTTTCTCCTTAGTTCTAAGTTGCTTCTCTCCTTGATCAGTTTCCACCCGTTGCTTCTTGTCCTGCCTTCAGGCGCCTTGGAGAATAGCTTGACTCCCTCTTCTTTGTGGCAGCCCCTGAGATATTGGAACACTGCTATCATGTCCCCCCTCATC